TTCCCACGGTTTACGCAATTAGACTACTTTTTCCTTTTCTATCAAATGGTACTATACATTTTTTTTAAATAAACTAAAACTAAAAACTGTATTTTTTAAATATGATACATCAGCTTACAAACATAAATCTATATTGTTGTCCTCTATGTTATATACCTTTTTTTCAAAGTGACCTATTTCTTTTATATGTTTACATATTTGATTTGCTCATGTTTTTGTACATTATGCAAACTGAGTGTTATTTTAAAATAAAATTGAAATTGAAATTAAACCAATTGGCCAAATTTGTTAAAACATTGCAGGGATGTTTCTTGCATGAAGCTCTACCAACGTTGATCAAAGAATTAAATTCAATAAAGAATTCTGGTTGCCATGGCAACCGAAGGATTCTTTTTAAAAAAATCTTTAAAAATCTTCTTGTAAAACAAACGCAATAACTACAGCTTACATATAATTTGGCAAGAAACATCTTCTAGTAGATGTCTACCAAGTTTGTTCAAATAAATGTCCTACGGTTTAAATTGACCCCTCCCTCAGGGGGGTCATTGATTTTCCTTATATGTATATAGTATAAAACTTAAAAACATGTTCTTGTGACAATCCAAAAGGACTATAGATTAGATATTTGGCATGAAATATCTTCTTGTGAATGTCTACCAAGTTTGTTCAAATACATGCTGTAGGGTCAGAATTGGCCTGCCCCATGGGTCATTGATTTTCCCAATATGTATATAGTAAGAACTTAAAAAACTCTTCTTTTGAAAATCGAAAAGAGCTAAAGCTTAGATATTTGGCATGAAACATCTTCTAGTGGATGTCTACCAAGTTTGTTCAAATAAAATCCCAAGGGTCAAAATTGACCTCGTCCCAGGGGGTCATTGATTTTATCTTATATGTATATAATAAAAACTTTAAAAATATGCTTGTGGCAATCCAAAAGCACTATAGATTAGATATTTGGTATGGAACATCTTTTAGTAGATGCCTACCCAGTTTGTTCAAATACATGATGTAGGGTCAGAATTGGCCCCGCCCCATTTGGATTGAAATATATTCCAGTGGATGTCTACCAAGCTTGTTCAAATTAAAGCCCTAGGGTCAAAATTAACCCTAGAGGGTCATTGATTTTCCTTATATTTACATGTATATATTAAACATTTTAAAAATCTTTTTGTGAAAATCCAAAAAAGCTAGAACTTAAATATTTGGCATGAAACATGTTCTAGTTTATGTCTACCATATTTGTTGAAATAAAATCCCTAGGGTCAAATTTGCCCCGCCCCAGGGGATCGAGGTCGACCGTTCCATCCCCAGTCAGGTCAAATGTTTGTTTTCCTTCTCTTTTTCTGTCATCTTTTTATTAGCTCACCTCTCACTTAGTGACAGGCTGAACTGTTTAATAAAATGGCTAATATTACATATTAACAGCATCTAAACCGCTAGTTCAATTTTGAAATCATTTTACACAATTTCCTTGCTGACAGTGTACAAAAATGTTCAGATTAAGCTGTCCCGTGTTTTCAAGTTATGCTTCTGGGGTGAAAAGGGGCTCCACTTTTTGACTTTTTTGACATTTTGACCTATTTCACAGGTGAGCGATCCAGTGCCCTCTGGGTCCTCTTATTATAATTTATAAAATCTGAATTATTATGATAGGTGTCTGTGTAGATATAGTTTATTGTACCATAGTCAAGTAATTACACCAACTTACTAGGGGTTGTTCATGCTAGAACACCTTAACTTCCTTGCCGGACGCAACATTCAAATGCTAAACACACAACGTCGTTTTAACATTACAAACAAATTAAATTATAAGTAAATACAACATACGTATATATGTCGTAAAATCAAGTGTTAGAGGTAACTCGATGGTAAATCAAGAGTTTGTAAGAAATTACTCTAGGATATTTCAGTACAACATTTTTAGCAATTAACAAACATTTAGAAATTAAAATAAATAGTTTTTATTCCTTACAACGATATCAGTAACATACTGTTGTTCATCGGATAAAAAGAGTGCACATTTAATGTTGTATTTGATTTAAAAACAAGAACGATTTTGTAATTTTCTAAATTGTCGTTGGTTACCTAGCAACAGTTGATCACTCACACGATGTCGATTAAGGATGGCATTTAATTTATTTCAGATGTCATTTTCTTCACTGTTAAAAGTCTTTTAAATTTAGGATGGCAAATTCATTAGCATCGTGGAGCGCTTATGTTAAAACGCACAGTTATAGTGTGTTTAATTGTTACATCAAAATGATCGACAAATAATTTGAAAATGACCAATTAAAACTCTTCTTATATTCAGTTATTCCCTGTATATTTTACAGGAAGTCAAACTCAAAACAGATCGGCGTTCGGCCGGAAAAATACATGTTTAAGGGGCTGAAAGTGGAATGGTTCATGGTAACTGTTATCAAGATAACTTTTAACGACTTATGACTTATACCTAATTACCACAAAGATATTAACATAGTAACGATAATTGTAAATGTTTCATGGGATCTTCTGTTCTGTTCTGGTCGGATATTCTTATACAACGAAGTTCAGTCTTATTATGTTTAACACAAATACTTCAATGAAATCCCTACGTAAAATAAAAAATGTAAATAAAATATTGCTGATTTATTATATACGAGAAATAAAACATAAACAAAAATACAGTATGACAAAACGAACGCATTAACGCCTATAGGTTAGCATGTAGATATGAGTAGATCTGAACTGTAGCTAGATTGCGCATTCAGTGTCTGCAAAACTTATTAAAACAACAAATACACTATATTTATTGTGATTACATTATGTGTATATGTAACAATATATGTAACCTGTCACATAAATCATGTTTAAGTATGGCGGTAAAATGTTTCAAAAAATATAACTGTTATAAATAAACGTTATATATTATTATACACATGCATGAAAGTAATCTAAAAGTGTTACTAGTATATATAAAAAGTGAATGATTTGTAACCGCTGCTATGTTTTGATGGTTTTGCAATAAGAAAATTGGCATTTGTACAAAAGATTAAAATATGATTGGAATAGTAAATCCTGTAATATCATTAACTGAACAAATAGCGATGAATGTTAGAGTATCAGTACGTAGTTACCACACGTTGTTTATAAGTGTAATATATATCAATATCATTATTTTTCTTTTTTTCTCAATATTTTATTTTTCTTTTTTTCTCAATATTTTATTTGACATAAACATGTACAATGTTCGTCGCCAATACACAACTGTATGGCGGATATAATATACAATTAAGAAAAGTATGTTATTACAAAGTTCAGGTGTAGATAATTATGCATTTTATGATTAATTCGGCATTAAATGATAATAGTCATATACAATTTATTAAGATTATTTCTCAGTATCAGTACATATCATTAACTTCGTTTAATATTAAAGACAATACATGTATATATAATTTAGATAACACCTTGTAAAGTATAATCCGTGATCTTTCAGTGCTTGCACCAAGTTATGATACAATAGAAACCATTATGGGATACAATTTTATCAGTTTATTCCCGTTTTAATTTTCAGCATCCAACAAATCCATCAAATGCATATTGTACGCCCTAAAGCCTTGATTTCATTTTCAGATCATTTTTAGTATCAAAAATCCAAAAATCATAAAGTTTCGATATCATTATCAGAGTACAAAAATCGGTATCAAATGCATATCACACTTCATTTAGCCTCGTGTTCTTTGTCAGAGTCCAATAATCCATATCGAAACCTTATTGTACTTAAAGTAGGTAGTGTTCAGGCAGAAATTGTCAAATCTTGTTTATTGTATATGTTGCTTGCAAGGAACGGCGACAATCATATTCTTGTTAAAACTTGTAAATTCAGACAATTATTGTGACAATATAGACAAAGTTATGTTTTTGATCTAAAATTAGATGTCGTACTCGTATCATTGATTGCATCAATAGGAATGATATACATATAGTAACTTTGACAAACAATCTTGTTTAAAATGTTCCTTCTGTATTACAGAATAATTTTTATTTAAATAAAATTTCAAAACTTTTATATTTTGATATGTTAAGAATGAATATTTCTCCACCAAATATTCAAGCTGGATATGATACCTCGCGAAAAAGATATTATGTTGCAATAGTTGAGATATCGAAGACAAATACTATCTTATATGTTGATGTTATCATAAAGCAACATTTAAATGCCTACTAATATAAAAATCCATCACACTGTCAAAATAAAATAATAATAATTGTGCAGATACCTTTATCAAACATTGTGAAATCTCCTATACACTTTTAATTACCAAAGTCTTGAAATTACAATTCATTCCTAAGAATATTCATAATTGAAATGAGGCTAGATTGAATACGGCATGTATTTGATATAGATACTTTGGACTCTGAAAAAGAAATCTAGGCTATATGGGGTGTGATATGCATTTTATTTTGAAAGGTTTGTACTCTGGAAATGGAAACGAGGCTAAATTGATAACATTGAATCAGATAATGCTTTCTATTGGAACATTACAAGGTCAAGACGATAAAACTTTAGTGATTATATTTTACAAGGTTTGGAAATAAGTCAATATAATGTATAGTAAATGATGTACTTTGTTCAACTTGTTATAAAATTCCTGAACTGTTTTGTACCTTTGACCTTCACAGTACCCCCAGCTATATGTCAGTGCATAATGAAATATGTGTTTTTGCAGTTTGAATACTTACCTGCCTCAATTCTTCACGGTGTTCGTATGAGATAAAACTTGATAATTGTAAGTTAGTCTCCTAGGTTGATTTATTAGAATATGAATAAGAAAGTATTTTCATATAAGTCAACATGAGAAATTATTGTTTCTTTAATATTATAGAGCAGTTGTTGACATTCAGCAGAGAAGACAAACAACTTACTGGGGTCAAATTGTTACATAATAATATAGTCGCACTTTTAGTATAACTTCGAGGTTGTATATATTAGCATTTTTTAAAATTACTTTCAGCAAGTTCCAGTCTTGTACAATGAACGGAGCAGTGGTAGTGAAGTTAGTATTAGTAGAAGTGCTGTCGGCAGTTACGACAAAAGTATAAGTAGCGGTAAGAGCGGAGGAAGTGGGATGTCTTTACGACGTGGAGATAAAACTAAGCACCGGAACAGCTGTGCGCCGGACGGTGCAGGTAAGTTTATTGAACAATATAACTTGTGTATCCTGTGTTTATTTATTTATTTATTTATTTATTTATTTATTTATTTATATATTCATTTATTTATTTATGTATTTATGTATTTATTTATTTATTTATTTTATTCCATTCATTCATTCGTTCGTATATTTATTTACTAGTAATTAATTAATTAATTAATTCATTAATTCATTCATTCATTCATTCATTCATTCATTCATTCATAATGCATGGAGTTGAAACTGCGGTCTAAGCCCACCACTAAAATCTGAAAGTCGCCATAATTATGACATTTAAAAAATGTTTTGGCAAGATTTGTCTAAAAATGATAACAAAACTATCTAGTGTTGACTTTGTATTAATATGGCAATTATGGTAACTGATATGCTATGCAGTACTGTAAACACGGGTAAAATAGATGGCCAACATTTATTGCTATTATTATTCTCATTATGTTTTTATTCATTATATTATGACAATATTAAGACAGATTTGTGTTTTATAATATGATAATTGCCCTTTCTAACATTATTCCTCATTAAACAAAAAAAAATGGAAATCGGAGCAGAATAGTAAAGCGTTGAAAGAATCGACAAATTGACACAATTTCAGGAAGCACAAAATAAATATGTAACCCATTATTGTTCATGGAATACTGTCATGCGAACGTCATTCTTAAAATATTAATTGTATATATGTATATTGTATTGTCCATTGTATATATTCGTTAGCTTTTCTGTAAATGGGATATTCGTCGTTCATTGTCGTTGTTAACACTTATTTAACACAATATCGTTTCCTCAACTACAAAGTACTTAGAATCTGGCAAAACGTGTAAGGCCTTCTACAAAGGCTATATAAATTATGTCATTAAAGTCAAATTGGTCATTAACATTGGCTATAGGAAACAGATTTTTAAAATCTTCTTAGAAGAGACTATAATGCCTTAAGCCTAGATAGGTCGCATGTAGCATAAACTTGTCAAGGTTTTGTGTGTGCGTGCGTGCGTGCGTGCGTGCGTGTTGGTGTGTGTGTGTGTGTTTTCAATACAAATGTTTCGACTGTATACATAATGCGATCTTATTATTTTTTATTTTTTTTCGTTTTATAGTTATATAAGGAATAACCGCTAATCTGTTTACTTACCATTATGTTCGGGTGCTAACAGTTTTGTTGTTTTAGTTTGATATTAACTGACACAAAATGCTCTGAGATGATTTTTTTGGTGACAGTGTTCGTCGTCCACAATATCTTTACATAACATCTCAGGACTCCTAAAACTCTTGGTGGGTTTTGATTAAACTTCTCAGGAATGGTTCTTAAAATTTCTCCATGTGTCACTTAGTTTACATAGACATATAGACAAAAACAACTTCTTTTATTACATGCAGTGCCCGGAGTTTAGTTATATGACAATTAGCAGTGCTTAAACTTATATAATTGATGTCCCTGGGTCAAAATGGTCCCGCTGCCGGGATCGCTAAGTTAAAGACTCGTCTAGTTAAAATAACTTAAAAGGTTCTCTATTTTTGACAGCCGCATGTGATTCTCTACAAACATTATATAAACCATGTCCCTGGGGTCAAAATTGGCTGGCTTATGGAGTAACATAGTTAAATAATATAGACTAAAACAGACACTTTCAAGACTTCTTTTTTCAAACTGCAATACTAAAAGGAATTTGGCGTGTAACATTGCTTAATGAACCTCTTCAATAGTTGTATACGTCAGGCTCCTTTTCCCATAAATGGCTTTACGCAGATTGCGCATGCGCGGAAAAATACATTATCCCGTCTATTGATTGTATATCCGCGGGGTAGAAAGATTTATATAAGTCATGTCCTAAGTTGCAAACACGTGATATGAGTTACTTTACATAGACTCATACATAAACTTTTTGTTGTGATGGATAACCACGTGTGTTACCGCCACCCATGAGGTCACTTGTTTTTCTTATGTAAGAAAACAAAATAAAAATGTTGTTTTTTTCTTTAAGGACATTGGCTTCACTGATAGACATTTGTTACGCAATATTTTTCTAAAACGTATTTCTCAGAAATATAGAGAGAGTAATAATGTCTGTTGGGTATGTTCTTTTTTTGGTTTGTTTGTGTTTTTGTTAAAGTGGCATGGTGCTAATTTTTTCGTTGTCAATTTGTGTTGAATTAGTAATATATTTCAAAAGATTAGCTATAATAATGGTGACTGACCAATATTTGATAATGAAAAATAATTATGATACAATAGTACAATATAAAACTATTCAAATAATAAAATGTCAAGTTATTTTAATTTTTACCTTTTCACTGACCATTCACACTTAGATAGGCATAATGTCATATCATTTTTTTCACGTATCATTTTACATTTTCAGATCGTTCCTCTATTGATGACACAGAGAAGTCATTAAAGGCGCTAATCAAACTGGCAGGTAACCCAGAATGTGTGTCGCCGCTCGTAGAAGGACTTGGTAACTTCATGAAGCTCGTACTCGCACTGACAGAACATGCCGAGTCAACCGCTGTAGAGAACGCCATTAGTCAATTGTTTAACACAATCATCCAGGTACCAATAAGTATATACCTTTATACGTGTATACAACTTTTATAATGCGATTTTAGCTGTATCACCTCGTCAACAACACATCAATGGTGTTGTAATGTTGATGAGTATTCCTCCACTATGATGACTGGTAATGGAAGTCATATACGAGTAACATACAACATATATTCTATACGTATAAACATATATATCACATACTTTCATTTATCTCATTCTGGTGTTATATCACATATATTGTGTCTATTTTTATAGAAAACAAGAGAACAGATAAAAATGATGGTGTTTTTTTTTTACATTATCATTGTATTTTAATATATTTTTTTCATTTTGTACTACAGGGAAACATTATAATTTGTTAAGTTTTAGCATTCATTGCACGAAATGGCAATTCAAATGTTTGTGATGTACGCCTGAGATGAAATATGGAACAAAACAGCAAACAAACGTACTCGAATATTCTAATATTCTGTTTAGAAGTTGACACTTAATTGCGTTTATTAGCATGATGTTTATTTCAAATTAACATCAACAAATATAATACTTCTTTTTTCTACGCATTATCATGTTTAAGAGGAAATACGAGCAAATAATAATTTAGAGTCTTAAGGATAATAACATTTATGAAAGTTTTATATAAACTATGACAAAATACACTGTTCCGATCCCCATAATTATTTCCATCCCCGTGGCTGACAAAATAGTGGCTTATGTCTGCATATATTTCAACATTGTCGATGATGGCTTAAGATAAAATCACTTCGTTTGTATACTTTGTAGACAGCATTTTTATTAACAAGAATGATCTGTAAATTTTCATAAGCATAAACATAAATCAAGAGTCAAGAAAAGTCCCATTCTAGATTGGTCTGGAACTGTAAATGCGAGAATAAATTGAGGAATGTTATTAAAATAACGTCAAATCAATATTTACGAAAGCCTAATAGTGTCAAATGAAATAAAAAATAAAAGTGCAAAGGCGTTATAACGCGAATAAAGGCGTAGTAACGCGAATCAAAAGGCGTAATTACGCGAATCAAAAGGCGTAATTACGCGAAAAAAGGCGTAGCAACGCGAATAAAGGCGTTATAACGCGAAACAAAGGCGTTATAACGCGAATAAAGGCGTAGTAACGCGAATCAAAAGGCGTAATAACGCGAATCAAAAGGCGTAATTACGCGAATCAAAAGGCGTAGTAACGCGAACCAAAAGGCGTAGCAACGCGAATCGAAAGGCGTAGCAACGCGAAAAAAGGCGTAACAACGCGAATAAAGGCGTTATTACGCAAATCAAAAGGCGTAATTACGCGAATCAATAGGCGTAGCAACGCGAATAAAGGCGTTATAACGCGAATCAAAAGGCGTAATAACGCGAATCAAAAGGCGTAATAACGCGAATCAAAAGGCGTAATTACGCGAAAAAAGGCGTAGCAACGCGAATAAAGGCGTTATAACGCGAAACAAAAGCGTTATAACGCGAATAAAGGCGTAGTAACGCGAACCAAAAGGCGTAGCAACGCGAATCGAAAGGCGTAGCAACGCGAAAAAAGGCGTAACAACACGAATAAAGGCGTTATTACGCGAATCAAAGGCGTAATTACGCGAAAAAAGGCGTAGCAACGCGAATAAAGGCATTATAACGCAAATCAAAAGGCGTAATAACGCGAATCAAAAGGCGTAATTACGCGAAAAAAGGCGTAGCAACGCAAATAAAGGCGTTATAACGCGAAACAAAGGCGTTATAACGCAAATAAAGGCGTAGTAACGCGAACCAAAAGGCGTAATAACGCGAATTGAAAAGCGTAATAACGCCTTTATTCGCGTAATAACGCGAAACAATAGGCGTAATTACGCGAATCAAAAGGCGTACTAACGCGAATAAATGCGTTATAACGCGAATCAAAAGGCGTAATAACGCGAACCAAAAGGCGTAATAACGCAAAATAAAAAGCGTTATAACGCTAATTTAATACCATATAAATGCCAAACAGTGGCCTATTAATGTATGGAAGGAAGAACAATGTTGATTTAAATGAATTGATCTAGATGTACGTTTTTTTATATGCCCGAAAGAATTTCGGGCATATTATTTTATACCCCTGGCGTCCGTACGTCCGAGCAAACATTTTGGGTTTAGGGGCTATATAACAGTAAAGAGAACAAAAGAGAACAATAGGTTCAATCCGTGATCAAAGGGTTTATGGGCTAGTAGTTCTTAAGAGAACAAAGAAAATAACAAAGAAAATAGCCCCTAAACCCAAAATGTTTGAACGTGCGTCCGTCCGTCTGTCTGTCTGTCCGTCCGTCCGTCCGTAAGCAATTTGGTTTCGGGAGCATAACTTAAGTTCCATTTGGCCCACAATATTCAAACTTCGTAGGAGGATTGTTATTTGAAGTAATACTTTATAACCTATAAGTCACCAAGTCATCTTATATTGGCAAATATTAAAGAGTCTTTATTAGTTAAAGACAAATAGTTTGCATAATTACTGTGCAAATGGAATGAAAGTTATTGTAAATGTATATTGTATTATTGTATACGAGTTTATATCTTGAGCAATAAATTCAGATCAATATTGGTCTTCCTTTCTCGCGAATTTGATTAGTATAAATATGGTATTAAATTGGCATTATAATGTGTTTTAATTTGCGTTATTACGCCTTTTGGTTCACGTTACTACGCCTTTTTTCGCGTTACTACGCCTTTTGATTTGCGTTATTACGCCTTTATTCGCGTTATTACGCCTTTTGATTCGCGTTATTACGCCTTTATTCGCGTTATTACGCCTTTTTATTCGCGTTATAATGCCTTTATTCGCGTTACTACGCCTTTTGATTCGCGTTATAACGCCTTTATTCGCGTTATTACGCCTTTTGATTCGCGTTATAACGCCTTCATTCGCGTTACTACGCCTTTATTGGCGTTATTACGCCTTTTGATTCGCGTTGCTACGCCTTTATTCGCGTTCTTACGCCTTTTGATTTGCGTTGCTACGCCTTTATTCGCGTTCTTACGCCTTTTGATTCGCGTAATAATGCTTTTATTCGCGTTATAACGCCTTTGCATTTTTATTTTTTATTTCATTTGACACTATTAGGCTTTCGTAAATATTTGTATGGCTTGGAAAATTATATTGAAAAATTATTAAATTGTATTTTATATCGAACATAAATGTCGGTGGCATAAACAAGCAACAATTATATTTATAAACACTAATTTTCACCGCATATAGTTCTAATTTTAACAGTGTAATCAACGAAAAATCGTCAGCAGTTTAGTACAAGGCATTCCATTATATAAAACGTCCGAGACTTTTAGATAATTTGAACACTGCGTCGTTATTTCTCATTTTCTTATTGTTGTCAATTTCATATAAAAATGTCAGCATTCTGACTGGCACCGAATGTCGAATTGAAAAAAGTCATTTGTGAATTTTAGAGGAATGAAATTTTTGTCAATGGCTCTTAATTACTTTATAGATTGTTGACTTGATTTGATGAGATTGACATCTTGTTGTTGTTGTTGTATTTTTATGCCCCCGCCATGTAATGGCCGGGGCATATAGTGTTACCCTGTTCCGTCATTCCGTCCTTCCGTCCTTCCATCCTTCCGTCCTTCCGTCATTCTGTCATTCCGTCATCATCAGTTTCCGTTCATTATCTTAAGAACGGTTTGACACATTCAACTCAAATTTGACATATGGATATGTCATGAGAAAATACAGGTCAAGTTCGAATTTGGTCATGGTTCGATGATTTTTGGCAGAGTTATGCCCCTTTTACTTTGAAAATAATATGAAATTTCAGTTTCCGTTCATTATCTTAAGAATGGTTGGACACATTCAACTCAAACTTGACATATGGATATGTCATGAGAAAATACAGGTCAAGTTCGAATTTGGTTATGGTTCGATGATTTTTGGCAGAGTTATGCCCCTTTTACTTTGAAAATTATATGAAATTTTCAGTTTCCGTTCATTATCTCTCCAACGGTACAACACAATATACTCAAACTTAACATATGGATATGTCATGAGAAAATACAGGTCAAGTTCGAATTTGGTCATGGTTCAATGATTTTTGGCAGAGTAATGCCCCTTTTACTTTGAAAATAATATGAAATTTTCAGTTTCCGTTCATTATCTCCCTCAAGGTACAATACATTCAACTCAAACGTGACATATGGATGCGTCAAAGGAATGCACAGGTCAAGTTCAAATTTGGTTATGGTTCGATGATTTTTGGCAGAGTTATGCCCCTTTTACTTTGAAAATAATATGAAATTTTCAGTTTCCGTTCATTATCTCCCTCAAGGTACAACACATTCAACTCAAACGTGACATATGGATGCGTCAAAGGAATGCGCAGGTCAAGTTCAAATTTGGTTATGGTTCGATGATTTTTGGCAGAGTTATGCCCCTTTTACTTTGAAAATAATATGAAATTTTCAGTTTCCGTTCATTATCTCCCTCAAGGTACAACACATTCAACTCAAACGTGACATATGGATGCGTCAAAGGAATGCGCAGGTCAAGTTCAAATTTGGTTATGGTTCGATGATTTTTGGCAGAGTAATGCCCCTTTCACTTTGAAAGTAATATGAAATTTTCAGTTTCCGTTTATTATCTCCCCAATGGTACAACACATTCAACTCAAATTTGACATATGGATATGTTTTTGAAATGCCCAGGCCAAGTTCGAATTTGGTCATGGTTCAATGATTTTTGGCAGAGTATTGCCCCTTTCACTTTGAAAATAATATGAAATTTACAGTTTCTGTTCATTATCTACCCAACAGTGTTACATATTCAACTTTAATTTGACATATGGATATGTCAAAGGAATGGGCAGGTTAAGTTGGAATTTGGTCATAGTTTGATGATTTTTTGGCAGAGTTATGTCCCTTTCACTTTGAAAATAATATAGATACATCTTAGGAATAAGCAGTTTAAGTTTGAATTTGGTCATGGTTCAATGATTTTAGACAAACTTATCTTTCCTGAATGT